AAGTGTGAAATGTAAATAGAATCAGATATGGTAGCTTGGATAGATAATCAAAGTCGGATGTATAGTGAGGCCAATAGGATTAAGCATTATATGGAAAGATTCAGCTATTCACCTTACTTTGTAGTTGGAAAAACCTTTTTACACTATTTTGACGGTTATTGAAAATGTTGTGAACTGCTATTGCCGATTTAATTTGAAATCTATCCAGTTCTACGGAACTATTAGACGATTTCTTTGTGTACCTAAGATGTTCTTTGGCTCGAGTCAAGATTTCGTGAGATGTCTCTCCAATGTAAAAGGCATCACAATCGACACATCCTCATTTGTAGACACAATTCTCAGAATTGAGTTGACATAATGGGGATTTTTTCTCTCTTAAGCGAACTAAAGTATTTCGAAGGGTGTTCGTTGTTTTGTAATACGAAATGTCGAAAAAATTTAATTTTTCTACTTAATAAGCTATTACGAATATATGACATTTAGATAAAACAATCTACCCAATGCTCAATTTATTTGAAATTGTCAAGTCAAACCTTGGTAATGATGTAGTGAACAAGAACATGAGTGAGGACAATTGAATGTATTTGAGTACAAAATTACAGAACATCTCACTAAAATCTAAGAACCATATAGTAAATAGTTAATTTGCAAAATATCAATCCATTGTCATAAACTCGACTGTTCCTTCTGCAGATATCAGTCCCTTGTCTCAGATTTCATTGTTCAGACATTTTCATACTAACTGCTTTCTGTTCGTGTTCTTTCTTTCTCGATCTTCTACTGAAATAAATTTTATGCCTGACCATCGTTATATACTACTTATGTGAATATAAGCAATCTACATCACAATGATACCAACTTAATTAGAATAAGTTTTATGACAGAATTTTAATGAGAAGCACTTAAGATTAAAGAAAAAGCTCTATAATAATTGAAACTCATCATTGGCATTCAGAAGCATCGTTGTGATTGTCGTTTTTCTACTGCTAAGATTTTGAAAAGAAGTTTTACAAGAAGCCATATTCCCATGAGATATTAGCTACTAGACGTAGTAGACATTATTCAGGAGTTTATATCAACCTAAAAAGTGAAATATTGAAAGTACTTCTGTTCAATAATTGACACATGTATAATTTATATTTAGTTCGATGTATATAATTGATGTCGATTAACTATGAAATATTGTAACTGAATCTTCACAACAGTTAATCTAAAGAGCCGAAATAAGACAAGATAATTGTAACCTTGTCACTGCTTGAAAACAATTAGATTGTCAATGATACATTTATCGACATAATCCTACGAGTTATCTTCAACTAGACCGAGCGAAGAATTATAACGATACGAAGTACACTCGCAGTTTATTACAAATAAATATCATCAACTAGTATCAACTACGAGTAAGGGATAAACACGTAGATTAATTTTCGAAAATTCTCATAGGAAACCAAGTTCTATTTAGTAATTCAGCTATGATAGTAGACGAGGAATGTAATGTATAACAAAGTGATTGAAAGCATAGACCATTCAATTCTGATTTGGTATTGCCAAAATATCATACTCGCCGTGATCGATTTCAGATTCTACATTCTATTCTTTGTAAAATCATGAACGAGCATTATTGAGAAGTGTAAGGCTACGAGTTAACAACTCTTGTTTTCTAACATGAAATGGTCCTCTAGCAAATTTTGTTTGAGACAAAATCTACTAAAATAACTTCATTTATCAAACTGCTTTCTGTCACTCATACATCAAATTCCATTGATTATACGAAACAATATTTCAATAATGGATGGATGGTGGCCAGCAGTGGAATCCCGTGCGACACGCATTTCGTCCTATTTGGAACTTGTCAGCTGAATGTACCTGCATCGTAGAGTTAGTGTCCACTCTGGGACTCGAACCCAGTACCGTTTGCTTCAAACGCCATCGCGCTATCTACTTAGCAACTGAGTCCTGAGAGCCACCTGCTTGTGCGATGGGGTGAAGTTGAAATCCACTTGGTGTGGTTTTACTAGTATCTTCCCATTATTGTGCAAGGACTGAAATTGATCAGCAAGTGGTTATCAAAACTCAGTAGCTAAGTGGATAAGGCGATGGCGTTTGAAGAGAACGGTACTGGGTTCGAGACGTAGAGTGAACATCAATTCGACAATGCAGGTACATCCGGCTGACGAGTCCCAAATAGGATGGGACGCGCATCAAACTGGATTCCACTGCTAGCCATTATCCATCTTTGCTTAAAAAGCTTGTGACTTAAGGCTATACCGAGGCAATCCGCACATGATGAACATATGCCAACATGAGACATCAATTGCAGTCCTAAATAGCAATGGGAAGACACAAGTAAAACAACATCAATTGAATATAATACATCTAGAGTTTGAAAATCTAATTAGCTTTGTGCAGCCTACACGTATACACATAGAAAAGATAATTTGGCTCAATATTTGTATTGCATTTAATATTTCAATAATTTAGATTACGATACATAAGTTGAAAAAAGAAATAACCGAAGGAACTGACAGATTAATTCCAGAAATCTGTATGTACTGTGGTCCAGTTATAATAGCTAAGCTGATATAATACCTAGAGTTGGAGGGCTGATTCTAATCCGATTTGAGTGGACTCAATCGTTCAGGGTTATAAAAAAGTATTAAAATCTTGTGATAACCATACGGGAATCACTTTGATGGATATAGTATCTGAAATACTAGCCTCCATAATGATTTGACGCTTATCCGTAACAGCGAAGCGGGAGGAATCTGACTGACTTCAAACTTACATGTGTTCCCTAATAGATCTAATTGTCACCTTTCTTCACGTTATGGAATACAGGCATACCAACCGAAAGACGACTATAGTTGTATTTCTTGACCCTAAGGCAATAATAAACTCTACTGATCATCACAATTTGTAGCAATGCTCGTCATCGGAAGAAGTAAATTTACCTTGTACAAATTCTTTAAACGAACACTGTTATTCGATTCACAGGTTATGATGAACTGTTATCAGAACTATCAACACAAAACGGAGTTGATTAGTTTTGTTAACTACGCTCCTTTTTAGTGAATTTTGTCACAGACATCCTGCTAGAAATAACACTCTTCACTCTTCAGGACTGATCTGTACCGACGCCTGAACTAATGGGCAGGAGTGAAATAGTTGAGTATTAAGACCCCTTCATATTGGTAGATGCAGACTACCTGGTCGGAATTCGATCAAATACCACAATCAGTGGTTAGAGATACTAAACGACATGGTTCGGAACCGTTCACAATGGTGAAGATGCATTCACCCTTTCTCTTTCCAGTTTGTCTTTTCGAACCATATTCTCAATAATCATTCATCTCCATAATCACTCCCACTACATTATTTCGATCAAATTTGTTATTTCTCTTATCAATTGTAACACGGTGTACTAATACGATATGGCAACTTGGCCCAACACACATCTGTTCAAGGCTCTACTCTGATAATGACTGCACGGCCCCCAAATACCCTGGTACGGCCGAGAGTAGGGAGAGTCAGCTTTGCTTCTCGAAATGCTCTGACATGACCACGCGTATACATCCATTGACAGGAAAATCCTACTCACTGATTTTTCGTAGACTTACTGTTGTTCACGAAATTGAGAAGACGAGAACCAAATGTCCGGCACCTGCTTCAACAGGGTTGGTGGACACGGAGAGTCTACCCATGTGAGTTGAAAAACCCTGATTTCAAATCGATGGTGCACAGGGGCTCCAGAATCCTAAAGAAACAAATAACGTATGAACCAATTGTGGGTCACCGACTACCATGGGACTGCATATTCTGACGCTACTGCACTGTCTAATGGACCAAACCTTTATGTCAAAGGCTCCAGGTGTGGCCACCTGAGTAATATTCCAGCCCTTACATAAATCGAATGATTTATATGGTGCATATCTATACAGTGTCTTGTTGTACCAATGTTGATATGTTTAAATAATAATTAATAAACTTACTGAATGAGATCAAATGTAAGAATTCGATTCTATTAGAATAGAAATAAAACAAATATGACATATCAACTGATAGTAACATATTTCACCTAGCAACAAAACTTACAACTATACAAAAAAAAATTTCAAATTGAAGGCAAACAAAAATGACAAAGTACACAAGCACACACACACACACACAGAAAGAAAAACAAAACGAATTATTTTTTACACAATAAATAAGATCCATTTGAATGTTTCATCCTTCTTCTTTCTTTCACTCTTCTTATATACAAAAAAATAAAACAAAACCAACTAAACTATTCATATAAATGCATACAATTATCAATCATGAAATATAAACAATTGAATAGATCAATCAATCGATCTAGCAACAACAACAACAACAACAACAAAACAGCTAAGGTAACACATAACTTGATAAACCGGTAATACAATCATAAACAATAAAAAGGATTGAGTGTGTGTGTCTGTGCCTGTTTGTTTGTTTGTTTGTGTGTGTGTGTGACAAAGAAGAACAATTGTTGAGAAGAGAATTGACTAGTTAGATAGATAGATAGATATAACAAGAGAAAAGAAAAAGAAAAGAAAAGAAAAGGAAGCCAATAAACAGCTGTTAAAAAAAAGGAAAAAAAAGAGAGAAAAGTGAATATAATCGTTTCTATTTTTCGCTTCATTATGAAAGATTAATTAACAACACACCATTACATCCATATAGATAGAAATGAAATTGTAAACTGATTAATTACAATTATTATGATCATGTTTAATACAAGATTAGTATAATAGAACAATAACCAATGATGACTAGACAGTAATTATGTAATATACATGAAGATACATTCAAGATAGAATTAGATGAAGAATGTTAATGGGAAGCTGCTTATGCTTATGCTCCTCATGAAGGTAATATGTGTAAGTATGTCATATTTACTTAATCAATGATAATTGTTAGATGTATACAAAAACTCAAGTAATAAAATAATTATATATAACAATAATAATAATAAATATTTATAATTTAACAGGACTAGTCAAAGATGAAGGGAAATTTGATTCTTTTGATACATTGGATGTCATAACTGCTATTGTTGTAGCAGAAGAAGAAGTTGTTGTTGTTGTGGTGGTGGTGGTTATTGTATTACTAAGAGACGAAGAATTCGAAATAACAGATAATGATGATGATGATGATGGCGATGAACTTGTTGGAGGATGAGTTATTGAATTAGGTTTTACAGAGATTGCATTCACGTGTTGATGATAACGAGATATCATTTGACTTGCTAATTGACGTTGATTTAATGGTACACTATCTGGTGGTATAAGAACTAACGAACCATTAGGACCAATTTTCACAGGTCTTGCATCTTCAGTAAATAAAGTGTTACATACACGATAAATTTTTCGGACAAGTGTTGATGTCTTATTTGGTGACGTACTAGTAATAGTAATAGTAGGAGGAGGAGTAACAGTAGTAGTATTACTCGAAGTATTCGTTGTCGTCATTGAAGGTGATTTCGGTGATAATAAGACATTTGAGGATATCTTCCTCTTATTCGATAGTGGAGAAGTAGTTGGATTAAGAACAGATAACCCATTTGAATGATTTATACCCGATGGTGATGTTTTAGGAAAACCAGTACGTAGAATTGCAGGAGAGCGATGTGTGTTTGATCGGAATGTGGAGTGTGATACATGCGGAAATGAATGATTTATCTCACTCCTAGTATTATTCTTATTATTATTCAAACTTGTAGGACTAGTTGGTTTCCCTTGTGTTCCTGATGGTCTAGGCAAAATGGAGACATTTTTACTTGGATCCAACATGAAAGATCGACGAATTTTCGGGATTAAATCTTGACTATTAAAACGTGATATAGGTATTTTCGGAGATCCACTTGCACTGATACGTGATGCAAAAGCTTGATAACTATTTTGATTAATATTTTTCACACTACTAGATCTAGTATCAGTACTCATTGTAACTGTGATTGATTTGGGTGAATTGTTCGATTGTCTGCTTATATTCTGTTCATTAGTTTCACTATCATATTCACTTTCATATGCTTCATCGTTAGTTAAATCTTGTGCACGAAGTTGTTCACGCCTTGAATGTCGTTCAGCACGATCTTTTGATGGATCAGTTCGTAGTGATGCTAAAAGATTTAGACGAGATTCCTGATTATTAATTTTGTTATTCTGATTCATTTTCAATTGTTTTCTATGTTTTTCAGCCTATTAAAAATTCAAATGTTTTAAGCAAGAAAAATGATTAACTGGATAAGAGATAATAATAACGACATTATAGTTTTTCTTTGTTAATAAGATATAATCAATCGAAACTGAAAAGACGATTAGTTTTCAATACTTGACATCATGAGTCAATTGAAGCTAGACCACCATGAAAAACATGGAAGCATTGGACGGTGGTTTCGTCCTCAGCAGTGTGCATCCACGACCTCGCTTCGAGAAATTTGAATCCAGGAGCTATCATTATCGCGTGCGAGATAGTAACTCACTGATGACAATGGTGAATATGTCGCTCAACTTCGTAGATTAGTTGAAGTTAGACATTAACTCCTTTGGATGCTAGCTCAGTGGTCTAGTGGTAAAGCGCTCGCGCGCGAGATTGTTGGGGAGTCCCATACTAGGACGAAACGGCAGTCCAATGCTTCCAGATTTTTCATGGTGGTCTAGTTTCAATTGACTCATGATATCAACTATTGAAATTACTATTATATCTACAAAAACCGTTTCTGAGATTAGTTTTCAAACAAAAACTAAGACTCGTATTTCGTCGATGCAAAATCTGAAAAAACAACAACAGCAACATTCTATCTTCTTCATGAGAATCTAAATGATTATTTGAGTGAAACCAACTCATCTTATAATTAGGTTCAAACAACGATCCATCTATATCAGTTTAGACAAGAGAATAATAATACCAAATTTAACACAAACGCTATTGTAATATAAAATAAGCATTAATGGAAACACAAACTACTCATGAAAATTTTGTTTGTGTTCATTAACTTTGCATATAATAAGATCACAAAATAGTTACATTGGGTAGATTATAACATATCATTAGATGCCCTGTTAGGGGCGAGAGTGAGGACAGTCAGCTCTCTCTCTCTCTCTCAAAATGCTCTCACATGGCCACGCGTATACAGCCACTGCCAGGGAAGTCTTACTCACTGATTTCTCATGGTGGTGGTGTTTTTTACGAATTTTAAAGGACGAAGACTGAATGTCCGGCGATTTACCTGGGTTGGTGGACTAGGAGAGTTCACCTAGGGTGGTTGGAAAACCCTGATTCCAAACCAATGATGCACATGGGCTCCAGTATATTGAGGGAACAAATGGTGTATGAACCAATCGTTGGTCACCGGATACAATGGAGCTGCATCTTCTAACGTTGCTCCACTGCATTGTGGATCAGACCTTCAGGTTGAAGCTCAAGTGTGGCCCCTTAAGAAAACCACTTGCTGCGATTTGTGCACCCGGGCCCTGACACAACTCGAACAATTTAGGTGGCGCATATCTTTTTGGTACCTCCTTGTACCAATGTTTATATGTTTAAATAAATAAATGTACACTTTCTAATTGAAGTCACATGTTGTAATTAATGATTGAAGATGTTGGATCATATGGCACACAACTGACTACACTAATGTATTCCTATTTATTTTTATACTTTCACTAAAACTTTAGTGTGATTCTCTATTATTGATCCTTCAATCTTGGTTTTCTTTTCTTGAATACTGTAGTAGTGTACATGCAGTAGTACATGTTTAAATGTTCACTTAAGTCAATATAATTTTCGTTTCTTTGTTTTGCATTTTGTTAATTTACTCTCTCAATGTGTTGGTGTTAAATGTACCAATTCGGAATGATGCACAATTGTTGACTAACTCCTTAAACATTCATGGAAATGTTCTTATATATATTTAATAAGTATATATACTTTTAATAAATCAAATGTTGCCTAGAAACCATAATTAGTTTGTGAAGCACAGATTTTATGCACTGAGAGCTAATGATACTACCCGACTGCCTCAGTCAGGTTACAACGTAGGACCAGGCACATATATGAATCGGTTGCCATACCTCATTAACACAACAAGATGAACAACAGATTCATAAAAGTAGTTAATTCAGAGGAGGTAATATATAAAAGAAAGATTGCAATAAGGATATAGTACAGGAAGAAAGAATTAGTTCATAGAAAGAAAAATATGATATGATTTTAATTTCTTAATTTAAGACAAGACAGAGAGTGTATACATCTATGCCATTGTGATCGATCAATTCTGAGCCATCTCACCAAGATTCTCCAACCATTGGTTACGATAGTCGCGCGGATCCCAACCAAGTAGTCTGCATCTACCAACATGGCTCAGACAAGTTAGTGACTTCAAGAACTGATGCCACATTTTGGTTTGGCTGCCCCTAACTTTCTTCCAACCATCCCCTACACCGGTTAGCATTGCATATCATGGTAATCGGTGTTCAGACATACGCAACACGTGACCCAACCATCTTAGTCGATGAAGATTCACAACCTCATCAACTGATTCACCACCATTCCCTAATACCATGCGTCTAACCTCACTATTACTTACCCGGTGATCCCAGCAGACGCCAGCAATATTTCTAAGAGATCTGTGGCCAAATACTAGCAACCTATGAGTGTCTCCTACCCTTAATGGCCATGTTTCGCTGCCGTAAATTAAAACAGAACGGACTGCCGCGCAGTATACTCGTCCTTTTATTGATAGACGAATATCTGGCCTTTGCCATAGGTGACGTGAGTTGGCAAAAGCCAGGCGACCTTTACGAATCCGTGCTGAGATTTCGTCAGACACCAACCCGACTGCCTAAATCGAAGTAGATAAAGTTCAAAATTAACATCTGGAAATCAATGTTAACACTAAATATTCAAGTAACCCTCACTTAATTAATCACTAGTGTAAAACATTTCACGAATTTGAATTGTTGACCACTTCCTACTTACTAAAACTTGATCATATGACATAATGGAGCCTAACGTTTGATTACAGAATTGTTTTCTAACATCATCCAAATTAGAATTCTATTACTTACTTCATTCGCTTCCCATTGTTCAACATCTTTACGTAATCGTAATCGAGCTAATCGTTGAGCATCAACACGTTCATTTTCTCGATTCAATACAGATTTATATAATTGTTCTAAATTTTCAATAAGACTTTTTAATGACCCAATTGCATTACGTAACCGTACAGTTTTCTTAATTTTTAACAAACATAATATAGAAAAGAATAACAGAGTTGTAATTAGTAGGTGCATAAGTATGAAGTTAAATGAAACTTTAGTTGAAAATTCAATGCAATCTAATAGTAACGACTTGTAACATCATTACCTGAAAATCTTACTGAATAAATAACCTGTTACAGGTATGAGGGTGGTTATCACTTCCCGGTTGTCCACATCATGAAAAAGAAATTGGGTTAGGGGTGATCTTAGTGACCTGAGAGCATGACTGCAGTGCCAAAGGGACAACTGCTTGAAACCGGCCACGCACAACCTTTTTGTGAGTAGTTTTCATGTTAGCTCCGTAATTGTTGAGACCTTACCGCCAGAGACGGATATCCGTGCGACAAGGCGAAGTGTGCACTTTCAGGCTCGACCTTTCCTAACCCCATTCCTCCTTGTGGGAGGGCAGCATCGCTATTACGCTGGTTTCCCGAGGGAAACACCTTATTGCCGTCACATCTCTGTACAATCAGCAGTACGACTTCGCCCTCAGACATTGTGTTTGCTGCTTTTAGCCTTACCGCTCTTCAACCGACCTGTCTGGCATGGTAAGACCTTGATGAACGATTGTTCCATCCAGTATAGCTCGATTGGTTCATCACGATAGGCAAGCCCGACCACTACGTCAAGGAAGCAGAAACGATCGAGAATAAATAACCTTAAAATATAGAACAATCTGATCCACATCATTCTAAAACATACTAAGAATTGGTTAGTGATTATTTCAATGGTCAAATGTGAATATATTCACGGAGTGATTAAAGAAAAGTATACAAACTATTTCCTGTTTGTAAGTTGTATTCTCCACCGATGAATTTCATTTGGGGTAGCAGTGGAAATTTGGAAGTACCAAACAAGTAGTTCATCCTACTACAAAACGTTTCATCAATGAAAACCCAAGACATCAACAAGAATTGAATGTAGGACCTGAAATATCTGCAACGAACACCTAACCTTTAGAATAACATTTCATATCTCAAAGATAGTAATTTAAACTTTTGTCAAGTTGTGAAATAACGCGACGATCATCTGAATGAAGCCACTAATAAAGCTGATGATCTATTATAATTTAGTTTATCTAATTAACTTTTAAATAATAACTCGTAGATCAACGGAATCAAATTGTATTTCATTAGATTTAAATTAGAAGGAAAAAATGACTAGGTAAAGACTCATAGAATTTGATAAACAAAACAGAACAATTCACAAGTGTAAATGCATTGCATGTAATAATAACAATTTATAAATAATGAAATCATTAGCTTAATAGTAATGATAATAATAACAGTAATAGGAGGGAGCCAAATTCGTCTTATCCCAATTAATTGAAATCAGACATTAATAAAAATGAATGTAGAACCTGACACCCAAGTTTTCCATATCATACCAGTGTAGTGAACGTGAACACAAGTGGGGATGATTGAATACCTAAGTAAAATCTAAGAACCATACTGTAAATAAATCATTTGCAAAATGTCAATCAATTGTTTCAGAATTCATTGTCCTTTCGTTTCCACGCCAATCATTCTCTATTCTCGTTGTCTTTTCTTTGATCTTCTTAACTTTTTTGCTACCAGGCACTCCACTTTCAATTGGCGATATATACTACTTATATCTATCGATATCAATAGCACATACCACATCATAACTCTGTAAATTATACATTTACCTCACAAAACATAAATATTACTGATCAATCACTTACCTGATTTGTAAGATTGTCATTTTGTTCCGGGAATGTTTGTTTTTTCTTAACAACAGATTGATTATTGATAATGTTATCATCATTATCATCATCATCTTCTTGTATTGGATTGTCACAATCAGAATTTAAATCTAATTCATCAATACATTGTTTCTTGTTTAATTTCTCTTCATTAGTATATAATATTTGTCGTAGAATTAATAATAATTGATTTAATTCTTGTGAATCTTTGGCAATTAAAGTGAATAATTCACAAGATGGTTCCTATAAAGAAGACAAAATAAAGATAATAAGTAGTATATTGCACTTTCATTTTAAAAAAAGGCAGAAATGTATCAACTAAAAAAGAAGAACTGATACATAATCAAGTCAATTAATTAGAATTGAAATATTACAATCATATTCTGGTTTATATATAAAACAGTAAGTAAGAGTATGATGTTTAATTTCTATTTCATTCAGAAATACAAGTGAGAATAGTGTTGTGACTTTAAGGCTGGTTTATAATAACACGTGATTTACTCGCCAATTGAAATACGATTTAATACTGTACCAAACCAATGACGTTCCACTGGTATGCGCAGCCTAGAGTCCTTATTGATATTTTGTTCGCCTAACCCTTCCAGTTGAGTCCAGAACGTCAATAACAGTTTCCGCTATGCGAATCATTTATTTCAGACATACTTGGTTTATATACCAGCCAAACAGGCGTCATCACACCATACAATAGGAAATAACATTTATACAAGATCAGACCAAAAGGTAGTTGTGAACGTGGGAGACTGTAATCAATAAACTGAACATAACTCAAGAACAGTAAATCATATAATAATAATCTATAGATCTGAATAAAGTTTATAATAAGAGGAATATAGATATACATAATCTGGTTACTGAATAGTTATAAAATAGGAATATATATACAATATTATCTCATTAATAGATCTCAGAAGTTACCAGTAATTCAACCTTCACTAGGGTATAACAAATAGGCTACCGCTTTATTTAGGTATGTGATGGTGCGTGTGTATTGTTATGTCTTTAGTTATACGAATATCGCAAAATACGATTGCCAATTTAGATAAGCTAACTTATACGACTAAGCTAATGACTCATCCATCAGTACGAGCAACATAGAGTTCCGATTGACCATTTTTTCACCTAGTTCTACCTGTTAAGTCCAGAACACCGATTTCAACCCCCGCGATATAAATCATATATTGCAAAACATACTTGGTTTATATAGAAAGCAAGATCAAACCACGTTACACCATAAAATAGAAAGTAACATCTGTACACGATCAAGTTAAAAGTGGCTACGATTGTGAGAAATTGTTACTAATATATTGGGAATCGTATGATGATAGTCCACAGATCAAATAAAAGCTTTTAGTGAAAGGAATAATGAATAAGTAAATAATATAGTTACTTAGTAGTCATACAATAAGAATATATGTATATACATTAATCCATAAGAAATTCCTAACGGTATTGGGCGGAAACCTGGAGAACTACGAAAGCCATCATCCAGAAGATACAGGTGTTTATTAACAGCTGTTTACGCAAAATACTTCGGATCCGTTGGCCAGACACTATTAGCAACAACGTACTGTGGGAGAGAACAAACCAGATCCCAGTGGAGGAAGAAACCAGGAAGAAGCGCTGGAAGTGGATAGGACACACACATTGAGGAAAGCACCCAACTGCGTCACAAGACAAGCCCTCACATGGAATCCTCAAGGCCAAAGGAAAAGAGGAAGACCAAAGAACACTTTACGCTGTGAAATGGAGATACACATGAGAAAAATGAACAAGAATTGGATGGAACTAGAAAAGAAGGTCCAGGACAAAGTGGAATGAGGAATGCTGGTCGGCAGCCTATGCTCCATTAGGAGTAACAGACGTAAGTAAGTAAGTAATTCCTAACGGTTACCATTCATTTATTCTCGTCCGGATATAACAGGTACAGCATTATAATCAATGACAAAAATTTAAATAATCATGAACTGGATCATTAAATGACATTCAAAACAATCATAAATACTTACAGTTGAAAGATTTTCTTCAACTTTTGTTAAATTCTCATCACAATTATCTTTATTTGAAATTTTCTTACATAATTGATCAGAATGAGTGAATTGTTTATCGGAAAATGTTTGATTAGATTTAAGTTCAGATTGTTCTATCACCATCTCATCAGAAGTTACATGTTTTTGATCTTCGGGTAACTGAAATCACATACATATATATACAAATGTATACACAAATTGTATTATCATTATAAAACGTGATTAGGTAAGAAAATCTTAATTGGATCATTCTATCATAATAAATCATTTAGTGATTGAAATAGTAAAGTATAATGAAGATATAACACCAAATTATTCGTAAGTCATTTAGTAATTAACAACAATGGGACTATCCAATTTACTAGAGATTACATCAGTATAGTGAGAGAGAGAGGAAAAAAGATTTAATACATAAAAATACAAAGAATAACTATACTATTAAGAAACTAGTTCATCCTGAAATTTTAGAAATGTAAATTTAAATACCAGGTGAAAATAACAGATAGAATTCATTTAAATGTGTTGTAAAATGTATAATGTTGAATATGTTATTTACAATTATGCAATATCTTTACATACCCTTGCACGAACATTCCATGTACCTAAATTAATGCTTGCTCTGGTTGTCAGAAAGAGCATCAGCCTCATGACTTCCGAAGGAACTCGGTTTTCATCATGACACATCATAACTCTTCTAAATGAAAACCTCCTAACAACCAGGGCAAAGTTGAAATGGTTTGAATTGTTTTCTTCTGGTTAGCGTCTTTTTAGTGAGTTAGTTTTGTACGGGATGAGGTTTCTAACCCCATGTTCAACCCTCCTCCTTTATCTGGGCTGGGAGCGGCAGTAGTCCCAGAGGGGCTCCAGGCAGAGTTTTACATACCCTTACATTGCTATATTGATGTGGTTGTCGTGCTCGCATATTGTGATGACCCAATGAATCAGACAGATTGGTTTTTGAGAGCCATGAAACGAAAAGCATTAACTTAAAATAAGAAACTGAAGCCCCACCGCCGACGGTACTAGATTGTGATGACAATACGTGTTGAGGAGACCCAGAATACTCTTTGAAAAAGCCCAGAGGGGTCCTGAAAAAACTTGGGAGCATTTATCCAGTCCGCATTGAACAGAGGCTTCTCAGAAACATCTGGAAAGTGGAGAGTCATGTGTCACATTTCCCAGTGGATGATCACCTATCCTGCTAATATGTCTATTAGGGTCCCAAAACCTACCAGAAGTCCAAGGCCACCTGAACTGGAAAAATAAAGTCAATTTTCTGTATATAAATTAACCTTGGAGTAAAGCGCTCTTTCCACATTTCGCGCTTTTCTCTCGTGCTCAAATTATCATTTAAATTTAGCCTGGAATTATTGGAAGAACTTACGAAAGCGATTCAAGCGTTATCAAAAGATTTATCAATAAGGTGTTTCTCTCAGGAATCCAACACCTTGAAAGATGCTGCATTCACACAATGAAAGGAAAAGATTTTAAAAAATCAACTATAAAAGTACCAAACCTCATCCAACCTCCAGGATTCCTGACACTGGTAGACGAGTCTCCCAAGGTGAAAACTGAAATACTAAGAGCTATTCAAAAAGATTATCTGTGACCAATTACAAACAGTAGTCCCTCAGGCTCTGGATTCAAGCGCTTAGGTTGACACGAGCACTACAAACCCAGTTTCCTATTCAGATATGTCGAAAGGACAAGGTCTATATTTCACCAAAAGCCCAAACAGTACGAAAGCGATTGTGTCACATCCCATTGTGTCTATCAATTTACATATATGTGCGGAAACATGTAAATAAGGAGGAGCAAAAGTGATTTGCAGTTAAGGGTGAGTGAACACATACCAAAATGGTTGCGGAAACAGTCAGTCAGCTACAATGTAGGATCAGGCACATATATGAATCGGTCCAAGTTGCCATACCTCATAAACACAACAAGATGGACACCGGATTCATAAAAGTAGTTAATTCAGAGGAGGTAATATATAAAAGAAAGATTGCAATAAAGAAATAGTACAGGAAGAAAGAATTAGTTCATAGAAAGAAAGGTATGAAGCGATTTTAATCTCTTAGTTTAAGGGAAGACAGGGAGTGTATACACCGACGCCATTGTGATCGATTCTGAGCCATGTCACCAAGAGTCGCCAACTATTGATTAAGATAGTCATCCGAGCCTCAACCAAATAGTCTGCATCCACCAACATGAGTAAGACTAGTAGTTACTGACTTTCTAGACTGATGTCACGTTTTTGGTCAGTTTTGCCACCCCTAACTTTCTTCCAACCATCTCCAACACCGGTTAGCGTTGCACGTCGTGGTAATCGGTGTTCAGGCATACGTAACATGTGGCCCAACCATCTCAGTCGATGAAGATTCACAACCTCATCAACTGATTTACCATCATTCTCTAATATCTTGCGTCTGACCTCACTATTACTTACCCGGTGGTCTCAGCAGAAGCAAGCAATATTTCTAAGGCATCTGTGATCAAATACTAGTAACGTGCCAGTATCTACTCTTAATGGCAACGTTTTGCATCCGTAAAGTAAAACAGAACGAACTGCCGCGCAGTATACTCGTCCTTTTATTGATAGACGGATATCTCGCCTTCGCCATAGGTGACGCAAGTTGGCAAAAGCCAAACGAGCTTTTCGAATCCGTGCTGAGATTTCGTCCGATACCAACCCATTAGGGCTGATCAGACTTCCAAGATAAGTGAAGTTGTCGACGCGTTCGACTACTTCACTCCCTATCCTTAGTTCAGGTGTTGACGCACACCAGTCCTGAAGCAACAACTTGCATTTAGAGGGAGAGAAGCGCATCCCAAACATTCTGGCATTGTTGCTTAGTACCACCAAAAGACTCTGCATTTTGTCAGCGTCTTCACTAAACAGGACTATATCATCTGCGTATTCTAAGTCGATAAGTGGACCTCCTTGTAGGAGATCAATACCCGAGAATTCCGTAGACGAGAGTGTTATTTCCATCAATAGGTCTATGATGAAGTTAAACAAAAATGGAGAAAATGGACAGCCTTGACGGACATCACTTGAGGTTGCAAAAGTAGATGACAGTTCGCCATAAGCTCTGACTCGACTGGTAGTGTTCGAGTAAAGAGCCTTCACAAGGTTTATGTACTTCTGAGGTACGCCTTTCAATGACAGACACTGCCACAGAATCTTGCGGTCTACGGAGTCAAATGCTGCTTTTAAGTCAAGAAAGACCACCATTGTCGGACGCCGATAAGTATGCCTATGTTCTAGAACCTGACGAATGGTGAATATGTGGTCGATGCAGTCACGACCAGGTCTGAAGCCATCTTCCATAAACAAATAGATTCCAATGGTCAAAGAAGATCACAGGATAGATAAACATCACCCTCCATTGTGAAACATTTGATTGAGACTGGTCATAAGGTTGAAATCAAGTCAGCATTTGTAATGTTATACAAAAACTTTCAAGGATGTATACTAAGGTTTATTGAAGCCTTGACTACACGGAAATCGAAACCCTCTTTATGTGATGAAAACCAATTTGCCCTTACACTTAGCCTACCCTGGTAATACTGATTTATTATCCAGAGTGGTAATCACATTTGTTTTTGTGTACTTTAATGTTTTTTTTTTATTTTTTCTTTGTTATGGCTTAACTTTAACCTGTTTAGTTGACCTTTTAATTTTCATATAAAAGATGTCTTAACAAATATATGTGTGATCATATTGTTCTAAATGTATTGCGCAAATATATCACATAATTCTGGTAAACTTTGTCTTCTTATTGCATTATCGAAATATATCAAAAACAAGTGTCGTTTTACGGTGTGAGAAAGTGGGAAATTACAGTTCGTTAATATAACTTCAGATCACCTAGTTTATAGTTAAACAATCACCGGTTTAGTTTATTCAATTATATAACTCACTAAATACAGCACAGTTTCATGTCACATTTGCAACGGCTAATGATACTATTTTGAGTAGTATAAAACAAACTCTATCAATTAATATACCTAATCCATCCGTAATTTAAGATAGTAAAAGTTATGTAAAACCGGTTGAAATATTATAATCTATTATACATATCAAAATATTCAAAAAAGAGGAACTAAATAAATATAACAAAAAACAACAAATATTACAGATCTTACCGATGAAGACGTTCCATTGGAGTTAATAGAACAATCTACGGGTGTTGTGTTCTTGGACAACTCACTTAATCTAGTTGATCTACGTCTTGGAATAAAAGATTCATCTATACATTTATCACGGGAAACTAACTTTTCATCTACTTGTGCAACGTTGTCTGTAGTTCCAACAGTTCGACTGATATTATCACCATCTTCTACATCATCATCTGATTCATAGTGGCTGACTGAAGGTGAACGAATATCATTTGGGTTTTGATCAGCTGAATGTGACTCAGTATCGTCATCATCATCACCATCATCATCATCGTCATCATTTGTATGTACAATACTTTTATTTCGACGAGAACTGTACTTTGAACAAAAACGTAAGCCACCAACGGCTGAAATAAAATGAATAGCAGTATAGGGTTGTGAAGACTGTTGAGTTTTAATCGAAATCATGAACCAATTGATGCTAGGCCACCAAGCTATCAAGGTTTACAATGAGTCTATAATTGCTCAGTTCATGATCTCAATTAAAATGAATATTTCAAAAATAAGGATTTCTATGAAAAGGATGAGTATGATAGAAACTTAACAACAATTCGACAGGGACATTGATGTCCTCAAGATTACACAAATAATTTTGCTGTTAACTACCAATTACCACAAAGCTTTAGTCTATGGATCATTGTCAATGTCTCACAACAGGAATAATGTCCAGTTGTCCTAGCTGTATAGATAACCTACACGAAGTAGGGGGTGATAGTGTTGTTCAGAATGACTATGAAAGCTTCGCAATTCAATTATATAGCTCGGTGAACACAACACCATCAACAAATATTCAGGTCGTATTGTACAACTCAAACAGAAAGTGATAGATCTCTTGAACTAAATAAGTTCATAACCAGTAGAGGACTTACTGAACTCCCATTTCCCAACACAGGGGGTGAACTAATCCCCACTCCAAAAGACGGATAGCTATTACATGGATTCACTTATTGAGGTTAAGTACTGAAGAGATCCTAAATCAAAACAGCGAATGAAGCGAAACAACTTTCAAATTCAGTGTCGGGAATACAGACAGACAACATTAAAAGCTATTAACACATGATCAGCACAAAAGCCATGGTAACAGCACGTGAGAAATCCTTTAAAAAATGTTTGACTGCTCGTATGATTACTTAATATTGAAATCATTCAGAAAATCCAAAAAATGTACCCGATGAATACAGGAAATCCGACATCATCTCCATTTGAAGCGAATGCTGTTAGCAATCTCAACAAAAAGGTACCTAAAGCCTGTATACTCATTTATTTGACATTCAAGCGTTTATTGTTTTACTTCTGAAGGCATAATAGGCTTCCTTACTTTTGATTTACAAAAATAAACAGTATTATAAACTAGATTGGGAATTTAAAATAATAATTCTATAGAGTTGTCAGTGTGTACAGCAATGCTCTGATGATTGGTAATTAAAACCCTGGATTATCAAATTGGTTACGACCGGATTTTTCCAAAACTTGGAAACTTTTGAACTATTTTCCGGATTATTATTATTATTATTGTTATTATTATTATTTAAATTTCGATTCTATGCTTAGTAACTAAATTTATTATCGGTGATAGTAGTAATAATATAACCTTAGCTGAAAACGTCCCTTTGTGTTAGCGGGACATAGACTAGATTAAAGCATGCTCAATGCATGATTGCTTTGGTGCACGCTGATTGGCTAATTCTTATCCAATCAGCGCTAGTCGATAGTCGGAGAATATTCTGGATTTTTCTTATGTAAAAATTATAAATATACTGACGTTTTTCCCTATTGTGCTTCCTACTGGCTTCTGACTTGCTATTTGGAATATAATCTCTTTCCTGTTCAACCGTGTTCTGATTTGGGGACTTGTCGAGTGAATCGGTGTCCGAGAATACTAAGCAATAGGAATAGCTGGATCATTAACCGTAAGAAGAAACAGAGTTATAACACTTTGAGATCAAGGTTGAAGATAAGGAGAACGGTTTGGGAATAGACAGTTCGACAGAAGTGTAGTTTACGTTGGCCCAAGGTTAGTTATCCAGGTCAGAATGTACTACTGTTCAATTACAGAACGCTACGCTATAGACGGAATAGTAGACGTGTTACAAAAAATTATGATCACAATTCTGATAGGCGAATTCAGTATATGATAACGATTAGCGTCTTAAGACATAACAAAACCAGATAGGAACAAAAATCATACCAATGGGAGACACAACCAAAACAAAGAAGTAAACAATGATATATTTAAGGTTAATAAGAACCAATCAACGTCGAGGTGTACAGAACACGCTGTGAAACGCATATGAAGAAATTCGAACACTTCACTTCTATCTGAAGTTTGTACCGATGATGTCGTTCAGAAGAACGATAAAAGCTCCACGACCAAACCATCCAGCTCAGAGAACAAAACTCCATCAAAACATAACAAAACTAGTTGCACTTCACCATCAAGTGATTTAATTTTTTACTGAACTACACACTAAATAACCACCGATTCCAAGGAGACATAAATCCGCTTACGTTACATAGTTAAGAGTTATTTTGATAAGTTAACTATGCAATTAAGTTGGTAGTTAGTTCCGTTATCATAAAAAAAGTTAATAGAAATCTCAACTTGGTAACTGATTTCATATTCAGATATTTGATTTCAAATCACATATATTTCAATATGCAAGTTTATGGTATTAATCTACTACTTAAACAAAGTGGAATATCACTGAAATCTATAACTTACTAGTCGAAATTCGAGTACTATAACCATAAAATCACAACTTTGATATTTTAAAAAACAATCCTAACACAATTAGTAGTCACTGTGGTATGTGGTACTGATGTCGACAGATATAAGTAGTATGTATCATCAGTCAAAAGTGAAATGCCTGGCAGCAGAGGGTTAAGAAGATTGAAGGAAAGAGAACGAGAACAAAGAATGATTGGTGTAGAAACAAAAGAACAGTGAAACTCGAGGCTACTGATTGATATTTTGCAAATGTAGTATTTACAGTATGGTTCTCAGATTTTACTAAGGTGTTCTGTAATTCTACGTTTAAATACATTCGATTGTCGTCATTTGTGTTCTCGTTCACTACAGCCACTACCATCACCAGGTAATCTTTGTAATTTAGTCAATCTAACCATAAAATAATTTATAAAAAATAAGTAAAATTCACATGGTGTTGTTTGAATTGTATCTTCCCATTGTTATTCAGGACTGCAATTAATCAGTCTCATGTTGGCATATGTGCATCCAGTGTGGATTGCCTCGATATAGCCTTAAGTCTCAGGCTCAGTAGCTAAGTGGATAAGGCGATGGCGTTTGAAACGAATGGTACTGGGTTCGAGTGCCGGAGTGGACATCAACTCTACGATGCAGGTATGTCCAGCTGACGAGTCCCAAATAGGATGAAACGTGTGAATCAAACTGGATTCCACTGTTAGCCACTATCCATCTTTGCTTAAATACGTAAAATAATATTGTACTTATAAAGATGATCAAGAAAAATTTCAACTATTATAAGTAAAATATAAAATGACTTACCAGTACGACTTAATTGTAAAGATAAAAATTGACGTGTTGGACCATTAAATGATGCATAAGGTGATGGATTTAAACAACGATCATTTTTAATAAACTCTGAAATAATTTGATTATCAATATCTTGAAAATCTCCAAATGGTACATTCTCTTTAACAGTATTATTATTATTATTACTATCATTGCAAGAAGGGGGTTTACGTTTCCTATTATTTGGTGTGTTTGCTTTATTTGCAACAGTATTATTATTAGTATTATTAACAGTTCTTTCTGATAAGCGCCTCTTTTTTGCTTTCCCATATTCTTCAGACTCTTGATCAGTAGTTAAATCAATTGCAGAAGAATTAACAATAGAATTAGGAATAGAATCAACATGTTCAGTAACACGATACCATCTACGATATACATCACGTGCTAATGATGGATGAATCCAATTAGGTAAACGTTGAACTGAACCAGGAATTGATAAACCATTATCTAGAAGAAAATTATTATGTTTATTTAATTCATCATACAACTGAATTTGTTGTTTAGATTTTGTACAACTACGACAACGTTTCAAATTAGACGAATGATTTAGGTCGGTTACATTTTGGAATTTTAGAAAATCATTTAATATTTCAGTTTTATTATTCATATCAAGATGATTATGATTCATTGTCATTTTTAAAGATTTTTCATAATTCATTTCAACTGGTTGATATTTTATATAAGAGATTCGATAGATTCTTAATGAAGTTGCTGGATCACTTCCAATTGAATTAGGTAAATGAATATAAGTATATTTTGAAAAGAAATCAGTACCTAAATAAACTGGATTTGATGCTTCCCAATCAGCTGATTTATCTAAAGATAAACGAAGATTTTCAAATGTTCTCTAGAAGAAGAAGAAAAAAAGAAAAGAATATTTTGAAGAGAAAAATGAGAAAGAAAAAGTCGAATAATAATACAACAAAGGAAAATATCTACTGAAAGTTTATTCCTATTTTCATTATATAACTGTGAGTTAAATTGGATAAATTTAAACATCAGAGTTGTGGAGATTACTATGTTTGTGAGTGAAATCATGAATTCATTGACGTAAGACCACCGGAACTTCGTGGATTAGTTGAAGTAAGACATTAAAACCGTTGGATACCGGTAGGATCAATGGTCTAGAGGTTAAGCGTTCGCGTGCGAGACTGAGTGCCCTGGGTTCGAATCTCACGAGCAGGATCGTGGATGCGCATCTCTGAAAAGTCCCACAATAGGACGGAACGATTGGTTCATACGCCATTTGTTCCCTCAAGATACTGGAGCCCATGTGCATCATTGGTTTGGAATGAGGGCTTTCCAACCACCCTAGGTGAACTCTCCGAGTCCACCAACCCAGGTAAATCACCGGACATTCTGTCTTCGTCCTCTAAAATTCGTAAAAAACACCACCATGAGAAGTCAGTGAGTAAGACTTCCCTGGCAGTGGCTGTATACGCGTGGCCATGTGAGAGCATTTGGAGAATAAGAGATGACTTTCCCTACCCTCGACCGCACCAGGGGTATTTGGGTATTTTAACTGGTTTGAACACATAAATATTGGTACAAAGGGGCATCGAATACGTATGCGCCACGAAAGTCACTTGATTGGTGTGTGGGCTGTGATACTGCCCGGGTGCCCAGACCGAAGCAGGTTTACAGAACTATTACATATTATTTTCTTTTGCGCGCTTCAAAATTCTGAACTAATAACATGAGAGACTCAAAACATAAGTTCTTACCTTTACCAAGTAACTATCTAACTCAAACCTCAACAGTTAAGAAAAAGAAGTAAACTCAGAACTAAAAACACATAAAACAACTTGCTACAGACAATAAATCAGTTTCAATGGTGGTATAACTCGAAAATTATTCAAAAGAACAATCAATTGGCATTTCAAGACAGTAATGACACACTTCAGTTCAGTAGATATTTATAAAATCACTGCTGAGCAATGAAAAAATCCATCCACATGATTGAATAACAGCGGATTGTTATAAATCTTATTTAGACTCTTTAAAAACCTCACAATTACTGTGGTATACAAATCAATTAAATGATCTCTCATATTATACAGACAGAAAACTTCAACACGAGCGAGGCCATATTCAATAGAATGTATTTAGTTAAACCGGAACATGGCAACAATAGACACAGTGAACACGGCATTCAAAAATAAACAAACTAATGATAACTCACCATTGTCGATTCACACAGTGCACAGATTATTACAACTTGCTGATATATTGATAATTCATGAAAGCGTTTACTGGCTAACGGATTCAACTTATAGCCACATGCATCAAAAAATCCTTTTGATAAACCTAAACGACGTGTAGCCTATCAATAGAAAATAAAACAGAATAATATAGAAATTGTATAAACACTACATTATAATAAGCACATCAAACAATTTAATCATGTTAACTTTTTGGCCTGGTTATTCTGAAACGTATAATGAATGTTTGTGAGAAAATTATAATCAAACCACTATTACTTAGGGATATGTAATACCTTAAATAATTTCCTTACAAGTGTGAAGTAATACACAGAGAACTGTTCAGTAGTATACTCGACCACTGTTAGACAGATAAACAACACGTCTGCGCTAACTATGGCTTAAACCAACAAAAATCAAACAAACGGATTGTATCCATAACAAGATTTCGTCGACCATATAAGCGATTCACCTTTCATGAAATGATCAGTGCACTAAAATACTCCATTACTAATCGACAAACCAGACAATAACATTGGCCAGTCATGAAATAACATACAGCATTTAGAAGGAAAAACACTGAGTGTGTCTAAGACAATGTTTTCATTGCTCAGTAGCCTGTACAAGAAAATAATTTATTATGGACGATGGTGGTGATGCTAGATCCCCAGAACTCACTGAGTAAATGTCTTATTTCTGTAATTTTGTTTTGGAAGAGACTAGTGCCGTATGCAACATTATCGAAAGTTGATGAAGAACTTAATCACCTCCAACTACAAGGAGTTATTACGCTTTTTTCTTATTCTGTTTGGGTAGCACCTACTGTGGTTATCAAGAAAGCTAATGGTACAACACGAATATACGCAGATTTCTCCACAGGTCTTAACGTAGCTCTATAACACCATCATTAGCCGCTGCCAGTCCCTGCAGATTTGTTCACTTTACTAAATAGTAGGAAGTTCTTCGCAAAGTCGGACCTTGCTGATGCCTATCTACGAGTGGAAGTGGCTGAAGAATCGAGAGAGCTACTTACCATTAGTACTTATCGTAGTTTGTTTCAATATAACCCCATTTATTTTCCAGCAACTAATGGATACAATCCTATCGGGTATCCCGGAGGTTGCAATTCATCTCGGTGACATCTTAATTGTCGCCACGTCTTTTGAACAGCTACGAGAACGCACAACAGCTGTACTACAACGCATCAGTCATAACGGGTTTCGGTTACGTTCAGAAAAATGCCAGCTTTTCTTCAAGTATTTGGGTTTCATTTTTGGATGCTCCAGGTCGCAGATCAGATCCTGAAAACATTCGGGCTATAAAATTTAGGTTCACTCCCATCAATGTCTCTGCCCTACGATCATCTCTGGGATTAGTTAGCTACTACTTAGCTTTTGTTCCGTCAATACATGACATCCGCGTCTCACTGAATTGTTTTCTGAAAAAGAATACTAATTGGAACTAGACGAAGGAATTTGAAGCTGCTTTGTGCAAACTGGATTCGACGGTGATATGAAGCAGGTTTACTATCATCGGGACTCACTATATGTAGTAAATGGATGCTTGATATTCCGAGATAGAGTGGTGGTGCCCGAGTCCCTACGATCAAGGGTGCTGAAGCAATTCCATATTGGTCATCCTGATATAAAGCAAAAAAATCCATAGCTGGAAGTTATATTTATTGGCCTCTGATAAACCAGCACATTGTGGGTTTGGTAGGCAAATAAATGCAGGGTCAGTAAGCGGCTAAGTTCCGCCAGCTTCATGGCCACAGCCTGAGTATCTCTGGTCTAGGATACATGTCGACTTAGCCGGCCCAGTCAATGGAACCATTTATCTAGTTGTGATTGACGCCTTTTCAAAATGGTCAGAAGTTCTTACCATCATGCAACCAACAACTACCAAAACGATACAACTTTTGACAGGGATTTTCATCCGCAACGGATTACCGAATGTAATCGCACCAGACAAAGGTTCGCAGTTCACTTCCACTCAGTTTCAAGATTTCTGCCAACGGCTATCCATAAAGCACTCCCGCTCTCCAATTTACCACCCACAGTCAAACGACCAAGCAGAAAGATTTGTGGATACGTTCAAGAGGGTTCTAATGAAGTCGAAAGGGGAGGGGACGCCAGTTGAAACACTGGAGAACTTCTTATTCGTTTGCCGAACGACACCTAATCATACGCTACCAGAGCAGACGTCCCCGGCAGAAATCTTCATGTGAAGAAAATTGAGGATGATCCACAATCTGATGCTCCCGAGAACCACACCACTACCATCACAGACGAGATCCAAAAAGCTGACAACGTACAAGGTTGGATGTCCGGTGTTCGCTAGGGACTACAGACCAAATCATGGTCTCTGAACCGAAGCACGGGTGGTCGGAAAGTTAGGTCAAGTCATGTACGAGGTAGTGGTGTGAAGAGACAAGTGGACTCAACACTGAAACCAACTACTTAAGTGGTTAGCCTTAGTTCGCCCAGTGACTGAAGGGAATCTTCCGCTAGACATTCCGTTGGATACTTCTAATCTACCCGTAGCCCCTACATAGGAAGTATAACAACAAATCAATTTACATTACAGAAGGTGGTCACTCCGACAACGGCGACAACTTGTCAGGATGCAAGTGGACTCCAAGACCGTACGCTATTAAAAGGAGAGGTGTTGGGGATGCTAGATCCCCAGAACTCACTTGATAAATGTCTTATTTTTGCAATTTTATTTTGGAAATTTGAATTTCTTCTCTTTGCACCAAAAGCGCCCATTTTCACCTTCATATCATATTACCCACTTGGGAGGATCTTAAATGTCACCGGTTCGTCGTCTCTTTTAATATATTATTTTGTAACGTTTCCCAAGGACATTTTTATGCTGTATATATACTCTGGAGCTGTGCTTGTTGTTGTTCGTGCTTCTGTCTGCTAGCGGAATACATTTTCCCTCTTCTGAACCTGGACTTCTCTCTCTAGTTAGCTGAGACGCATCAGAATAGTTAGCATATTAGGTCATGGTGTCGCTGAGTGTTCGATCCGTTCGCAAATTCAGGTAAACTCGTAATCTCTTCAAGCCTAAAAGACGGATTCATTAGCTACAGATTGAAATCACAAAGAAAGATGGCTTCTTGAAATTGGTTACTCAAAATCTTTTTGTGAGTAACTGTTTATTGTGTTTGTCATTACAAATAATTTTTAAAACCTCACCACCCAAAGTGTAAACCTGTGGATTGACAGACGGTGTACGACAATAAGGCCTGACCCTTTCTCACAGTTCTTTTGTGAGAAAGAAGTATAGTTCCGACTGTACTACACTCTAATGAACGTTCCTGTCATTATATGACCTCGTAGATATGTCTCAGCTAATATACTTGGAATACACATTGTTGTCAAGATAAGGTCGATAATCATGTTAAGATAACAGCTAAAGTAGAAAATAAATCCAGCACTCAAAGTAGCTGTAAACAAAGGTCTGGCATTAGTGTTCCAATATCGTAGAACGAATCAATAGATGTTCTTATCTTCAAAAAGAGTTCATGCTATTTTCGCAACAACTATAGGTGAATAAGTCTTTTTCCGATCACATCTAAACTATTGGCCACCATCACACTTTGTAGACTGTTCGAAACCCGAGAAAAATTGGTTCGCAAGATGCAAGCTGGTTTTCGTTCTGGTCGAGGATGTATTTATCATATCCTCACTCTTCACCAAACGTTAGAACACCGTCATACTTAAGACAGACCAACAATTGTAATATTTCTTAACATTAGAGCCGCCTTTGATTCGTTGGACAGTACTATTCTCTGGGATTGTCCATTGAAGGGTCTGTCTGAGAAGTGTATTAATATTGTGAAGGTCGCATATACAAATACCTCATGCAAGGTGAGAGCATACAACCACCTCTCCATTATTTTATTCAACCCAAGGGTTAGGCAGTTTTGCCCAAATTCATCATTACTCCTCAGCATTGCCATCGATGACGTTCTGGAAACAGCTCTGATGGATGTAAGTAATGGTGGTGTGGATCTGTTATCTGGAGAAAGACTTTCTGACCTTGAGTATGAGGAGAATATTGTCTTACTGTGCGCTGATATATAAGCCATGCAATCTGCACTTAATCAGTTGTCAATCAGTGTCCGTACGTATAGCATATTCTTTGCACCGTAAGAGTGCAAACTACTTCTACGAAATCGGCGGGACCCTTTACCTGCACTCACTCGTGATAATGAGCAAACAGGAGAAGTAGAGAAGTTAGTGTAACTAGGTAGTTGAATAAATGCTGGTGGTTGCGTGAGAGATGAAGTCAACTGACGTATAGCGAAACCCAGGGCGGCTTATGCCAATCTGGACTACCTTTGGCTTCTTCGTGATGTAAAATGTCGAGTCTACTAAGCGTCGCTGAGAGCAGTTTTGCTATATGCTTTTGAACGTGGCCTCTCTGAGTTGAGGATGTTAAGTGACTTTCTGTTTGATCATTGTCAGCACCATATCAGTAATGAAGAAATTTGGCAACGTATGTTCGGAAGCAGAGACAATAATTCAATTGGTGTCACCATACTCAAACATCCACTTCGGTGGCCAAGATATGTTCTACGAATGTCGTCACAGTGAATTCCACGTCGTGTATTATTTGTTAACTCTGGGACCGGTTTGAAAAAGTAGAGAGTTGGTTAGTTTATGGCATGTGTTGTGTTATGAAAGAAAGCTGTAAATGAATGGCTTTTGTCGGACCTTCACAACTCTCTGGATGGGGTGCTAGAGATGGTACAATACAGTGGCTACAGACGTTATCAGATATAGCTCAGAATAGAAGTCAGTGGCAATCGTGCTGCAACTTTATTCAAGAAAGCGAAAGTAATATTATAGTGAACGAGAACACGAATGGGGACAGTCGAATGTATTTGAACACGCAATTACAGAACATTTCACTAAAATATGAGAGTCAGTCAGTCAGTCAGCTACAACGTAGGACCAGGTACATATGTGCATCGGTCCAGGTTGCCATACCTCATTAGCACAACAAGATGAACACCGGATTCATAGGAGTGGTTAGGTCAAAGGTTGCAATAAGGATATAGTATAGGAAGGAAGAATTAGTTCGTAGAAAGAAAGATATGAAGTGATTTAATCTCTTAGTTTAAGGGAAGACAAAGAGTGTATACACCGATGCCATTGTGATCGATTCTGAGCCATGTCACCAAGAGTCTCCAACCATTGGTTACGAAAGTCACGCGGACCCCAACCAAGTAGTCTGCATCTACCAACATGGCTAAGACTAGAAGTTAGTGACTTCAAGCACACATTGGAACTTTCAACTAAAATATGAGAACAATGCAGTAAATACTGTTTCTTTTGCAAATATCAGTTCATCATCTCAGATTGCATTGTTCCTGCATTTTCATACCCATTGCTTTCCGTTACCGTTCTTTCCTCGATCTTCTACTGAAATATATTTTATTCTTGACTATGGTTATATACTACTTATGTGGATATAAGTAGCTCACACCACAACGTCTGTAACAGGAAGAATTCTTTCTCATTGTACTTTTCTTAATTGAACTGTTTGTCCGATTATTATTATTATTATTTCACTTTCATACACTAACTTATGTTCACTGTTGCTCTCTTTTATTACACTTACCTTTCTTTCTCTATCTCTTCACAATCTCATTGTTATTGTGTGGCAATTATGTATTTGGCGGCCCCTTGTACCAATGTTTATGTGTTCAAATAATGAGAATAATAATCATGTTAAGATAGTAGCTAAAGTAGAAATTTAATCTAGCAATCACGATAGGTGGTTAGGCTCAAAAAAATAATTCGAACAAGCGAAGGGTATTTCAGTTTGTATAAGAGTAAAACTTTCCTAAAGGCTGGGTATGTTTTGATTAACAGACAGCAAAAAGCAAAAAGTATACGTTAAGAAAGTTTCAGCGGTCCTTTTCAACTACTCAACACGTGAAGTTATTTTGGCATTGATTTAATCGACCGAAATCTGAATAACAATCGAAATTGAGGAAAAGATAACTGTTTTCCCTTAATACAGAACTCCTTTACATAGTAATTTTCCGAACTCCCAAAAAGCATGTACTGTTCAGTACATTTCTTTCAAGTCACTGAGAAGAATAATTTTAAAAATCGTACATTAAGTTATAAGTAGTTCTATCGGTTAGTGGTTAGAACACTGGATAGCAGGTGAGAACCAGTGCTTTCTAACTACAGCGGCAATAGCTCTCCACAAAAAAATTATATCTGGAAATTAAATGTACAAACAGTTGCTCCTTTCGTGAGTTCTACATCAAATCAACTTCTTTTTTCAAAGATAAAACAAAAGGAAAACATTAAATGAATATTGTATGTAGAAGAAAGTTCATACAACTTACCCATTCAACAACACCTTTGCCTTTTTCCCAAAATGAACGATACCATGAATCAACACGACTAGATAATCGACGTTCCCATACATCATAATCAATTACAGGTAATGTAGATGTATTTGATAGAAGATTACGAGATCGTCTTGTTGAAGAAGAAATACAATCTGTGCTAGAATCTGCTCCAACATTAAGATTACAACTAACATTGTTACCATTATTATTATTATTATTATTTAATACAGCGACAATTTGATTTCTTTCTTTTGGCGTAGCTAATAGATTAGACATACAAACATTTAAAACTAGACTAGCTTGTGGAACTGAACATAGTCCAATTTCTAAGTCGAATAATGATAAATTACGTGAATGATTTGTACTGTTCAATGAATTGGCAATGAGATTATGATTGTTATTATTATTATAAATTGTCAAACAATCACTAATACCCAAAAAAGGATCAGCTAGCCATAAGAATTGATAAGCTTCTAATAACTAAAAAAATATATACATATATACAATAAGGTATGTTGTATTACTTCAGTTCATATAAGTAAAGAAATTCAGCATTAAAGTTAACTTTTAAGAATATGTAACCATATAAATCGTTACTTCTTACTCGGTCTCTTCTATCTATTATTTTATCTGATTGTCTTTCTTCCGTAAAAATCCCACTAAGAAGAATCCAGTGTGCTCATAAAAGTCGTTAACATCATAATGTACAGTTTTTACTGAAGTTTATCATGTATAATAAACATTACATTTTCATACCAATTTTATTCAGTCTATAAATACACAACGTATGTATATAAAATCATCCCCTGTATCCTTTGGATATTTAACGTCACAATGATGTTACAGAAGTTTCAATGGCAGCATAACAATACTAAAGACAAACAATGGTATCCCCTTGCGGCACATATCCCAACAATGAACATATTATCAACTAATCCGTTTATTATTTTCAGCACAAAAAAAGAATGGAATAAAGAAAAGATGATCAGAGGGTATTACTTTATGTTAAACTAGTTGTATTTACACTGAACTAGTTATATAACGGATCAACATAACCAGTCTGATGAGAAAACACAGATACAAGTGAATAGATGAATATAGAAACAATTAGAAGATCGAGTCAACTATGATCCGTAAACTAAAATGAATGATTGTTATTCCACTCAAATCTTTGTTCTTGCTCTCTTCAAGATGACAACGGAAAACTTCACATTGTTTTGGTATCGGTTAAAAGAATTAAAATGCTTTACATTTCCTCATAAATAACTGTTTACATGGTTAAATTATGGACACTACTTGAATTTAAGAATGAACTGTTTAATAGTGTATGCTCACTGAATCTCACAGAACTTTCAAGCCTTTCGGCGTCAGCAAAATACCTACAAACTAATGAATAGCGATTTAATATTCTACATTTCCAAACCCATTCAATTCCCACAGTACTAGTGAGAAGCCGTGACCAGTGGAGTTCAACCACATTTAGAATGAAGCTGTCACCCACCAATTGCATTAGATGATATATAAATGAAGTTCTTACTCAATTTACCGAGTCCGTCATCAACTTGTATCAATTTACTCCATGTTACTTTAAACAATGAAATAACTAAAGTTCAATAGTGAATGACATTGATAAACAACAAACTAAATCCCTATCAAGATATCTTAATACTAGAGCAAAGCAATAAACTTGACTAACTTCTGGTACATTGTATATAATTTCTTGCAATTTAGGTCCATTTTTCTGAATCCACCATTCATTCCATGAATCTAACAATTCTTCTTCATGTCGTCTACGCTCCCATAAACTTAATCTAGCTATAATTAAACCGACATTTTCATCTATACTTAAATTATTAGTAATATTATTAGTAGTAGCTGATTGTTGTTGGCTGGATGGTATAGGATTATTTGAATCTATACTATTTGAAATTAATGATGCTGCGATACCCCCACCAGAACCAGGATGTGTAACATGTTCCAACTCTTCAATGATAGCGCGCATTGGTGTTAGTTGACGTGTATCACCAGAAAGGAATAAACGTCCAGAACTTCGACGGCGAGTTACACCTACAGTTTTGAGAAAAAAATTATATGCGATTAATAAAAATCAAAAATAAGCACAACTATATAAAGAATGATTTCTGTCATGAATCAACACTAGTGAGTAATAGCAAGTAGGAAATCACTTCACTGTTTATTTAACATACATAAGAAGCGTTTTAACTTTTGATTACGAAATTGACGAGACTAAAAGCGAATGTTAGGCGCATCAACCAGGCTGTTAGGTACGAGGGACCCACCTAGGGGAGTTGGAAAACTCTGACTCCGAACCAATAATGTATATGGGCTTCAGGATCCTGATGGAAAAGATGGCGCGTGAATATATTCTTGGTCACCAGCTACCATGGGATTGCATCTCTTAATATTACTTCACTACCATATGGATTAGATTACTAGGTCAAAGGCTCAGGGAGTGGGCCCCCTAAGAAGACCACTTGTTTCGGTTCGAGAACTTGGACAGCATCCAAGCCTACATACAAATTGAATAACTTATTTGGACGGTACATATATTTTTTTACCCCTTCGCACCAATGTTCATGCGACTAAATAAAAAAAGAAATAAAATTATACATAAATCAGAATGGAACAGCTTGGGAATAGTCTCCAGTTCACACTATAGTAGCTAATTAAAATAACCCATAGTGTCATTGAATAAGAAAAAGAGAATTCAGCGAAGAAAATTTTCTTTGCGACGAAATCATTTACTTAATGATGTTTTCTATAAACAAATAGATGGAGTTGCAATGGGCTCTCCATTGGGTCCTCTCCTGGCTGATTGTTTTATGGCGAACCTAGAAAACTCGGTACTTAGACCAATAATTGAAAGATTTCATTTATATAAAAAATATATGGATGACACTTCCATTATTTGCGAAGAAGATAGTGACCTCAATGATATTTTGAATATTTTCAATAACTGCCACCCATCAATCCAATTCACCTTAGAAGCAGAGACAAACCACGAATTTCATTTTCTTGATATCCATTTAAAAAGAATGCCTGACGGTTTATTACAGAGATCGATACACATAAAACCCACTTGGAATGGACAATACACGAACTTCCACAGTTGGGTTCCATTAATTAGAAAAAGGAACTTAATTCATTCTTTATCCTCAAGGATCAGGCGAATTTGTTCCAATGACACAATAGGTGGGGAACTATTTTATCTTCGACAGACCGTCATCAAAAATGGTTATCCACCGAGATTCATCGATAGAGACTTGGTACCTAGACCTCATGACAAAGCATTGACAGTAGAGAAAAAACTCTATTTGTGAATATGGAACGGCTGCTGAAATCCTAAATAAATGGATTTCGAAGTCATTGAATAAAACATTCCACGCAGCTAAGCTTCGAATCATCTTCTCTAGCCGACCTACAATTCTGGGGTGTGTTAAGGACAAACTTTCACTTTTGGCCACTTCAATGGGTATCTATAAGTTTACTTGCTAATGTGGGGCATGTTACATAGGCCGCACAAAGCGATCATTATCCAAACGCATCTCGGAACATTATCCGGCTTGGCTCTTGAAAGGGGAGCGAAAAACAATCACGAGTTCTATACAGGAGCACTTAATCAACTGTGGACATATCGCTCCAAAAGACTCTTCGTTTAAAATAGTTTACAGAGTCAAAGGAACTGGATCGAATCAATATTTTATGCACCGCAGAGGCATTGGCAATCCACAAACTCAAGCCTGAACTTTGCGTGCAGAAACGATTTGTCCAACCTCTCATCCTACCTTGGCCCTAATTCCCTTAATGGGTATGTTTCTAGGTGGGGTTTTTTTAATGCACTTTTATTATTACTATTTTGCACCTTAAACTCTAATCATTTATTATTATTACCTTTTACAAGTTTTCTTGATTATTATTCAGTCTATTATTATGACCTTTGTTGTTTTGTCGTTTTTCTTCATCTGTCAATTGGACTATTATCTGACCCACAAACGATTTTCTTCCTTACCCCTTGATTAGTACGTTAACCTCATTTGTTATTTATTGTTGAATCCATTTTTGTGATACAATCCGTTCTATCCTTCTATAGACATACATTTTCCATATATATATATACGAATGTACAGCTTAAGTAAATGATTTCGTTGAAAAGAAAACTATAGTAGCTGTTTTGATGTGATGGTTGAGCTTCCCTATCATGATGACCCAATCGAACTTCATCGGTTGAAATACTTATCCCTTGAGTTTTTAATATACTAGGCTAGCCGGTTGGATATCGGTAAGCAAAAATCAAAAAGTTCAACACAATAGATACAGTACGAAAGAAACAAATAAAATTGAAGAATGCGAAATGCAAGATCATATTATTCATGAGACAGAGACGAAATAATTAATCCAACTGCCCTAGTGAGACTGATTTTAAACCATATTAATTAACTTCTCAAGTCAGTGATTAAAACTATAGCACAACCACCAATAAGATAGTCTAGATTTCTTTGGAAATCCAACCGGAAGTCAGTGCCTTTACGTAATGACAGTTGTTCAACTCATTTCATTCAACTTGTAAAAATTAGCTGAGAAGTAACTGATCCCAGTGAAGAATTTTCGACCATATAAAAATACAAATAAATAATACACAGATTCATCAAGTGAATGTACTTACCGCAATCCAGTAACTCATCTTCAGCTGTACCAAATCCAAGCGTTGATTGTATCGATGCTTTAGCTCTAATTTCACTAAAACGTTATAAATGAAGAAGAATTCAACGAAATTCAAAAATGATATAATATTAAGTACAGTTGACGAAGTTGCATAAACAGACATACATTGTCATTGACAACTTGTAATACAAAAGTATGTTTTGACAAGTGATAGTTTCACCTTTACGGAATGTTGACCACAGGTTCAAATAATAGAACGTGAACCAGATTTAAACTATCAGTTACAGAATTATCGGTCTAACTACTTAAAATTAATTAAGATGAAACATTAAACTCTCAGTAAAATATTACATTTATTTCACTTAGTATATATATATATTACATCTCCTGACCGTTGCTGTTACCTTGACGTGGTGGTCGGCCTTGACTATCGTGATGAAGCAACCGAGCTATACTGGACGGAACGATCGTTCCTCAAGGCCTTACCATGCCAGACAGGTCGGTTGAAGAGCGGTAAGACTAAAAGCAGCTGCCTTCCCACAAGGAGAAATGGGGTTAGAAAAGGTCGACTCTAAAAATGCACACATCGCCTTATCGCACGGATATACGTCTCTGGCGGTAAGGTCTCAACAAGTACGGAGCTAACACGAAAACTGCTCACAAAAAGGTTGTATGTCGCCGGTCTCAAGCAGTTGTCCTTTTGGCACTGAAGTCATGCTCTCAGGTCACTAAGACCACCTCTAACCCAATTTCCTTTTCAGGTACCTCCAGAAGAACCCTTCCACGGTGTGGACAACCGGGAAGTGATAACCGCCTTCATACCTCTAACAGCACTAAAGATCACTGTATTCATATATTACATCTAACCATCATATTCTGAACAATATATCAATCTTTTTACAGTTGGTGCAATAACGTTCATAACTAGATCTTTTATGCAACACAATGAAACTAAAATAGATCAGTCTCAACTAATTCTATCATCATCAATCAAATAAAAAGATTTAATCACTCTACACTGAAGAACATTCAGTTGAGATAAATAAACTCAGTAACCAAATGAGTTACATAGTTTTATGTGATTGATGGGCTACGCAAATAAAGGTAATATTCAAACTCGTAACTTAATCACATGAAGTTGAATGCTTTAATCATTAAGTCAATACTTTATTTATTTGAGCATGAAACAATCAACTTATGTATTGAAATGAAGCCTAACCAATCAAATCCACAGTATCTATGTTTAAATCGTTTAACAGAATGAAATTAGTCATAGTTCTATTAAAATCTCCAGTAATACAAATTAAGCGTTTACAATAAATTTCAATAGTTGAGATCATGAATCAATTGAAGCTAGACCACCATGAAAAACTTGGAAGCACTGGACGGCCGTTTAGTCCTATTTCGGAACTCCTCAGCAGTGCGCATTCACAATCCCACCTCATGAGATTCGAACCCAGGACCTATCAGTCTTGCACAAGAGCGCCTAACCACTATACAATAAACGTAGAAATGTCCATTATAAACAACAGTATTAAGCGAAGATCTCTCATTGTTCTATCAATTTTTTTAAGTAGACATATCTAAATTAAATTAGTAAAGACTTAAATTCATTAAAAACAATAAAATAATAAACGCTACACTATAATTATAATTACGGAGATAAAAGTTGAAGTTTTTGTTCCAACAACAATTCTAATTTCTCAGCACAACGTCCAATACGTGAAGAGATTCCATTGTGACGATAACAATTTAATAACATCAAACGGAAATCACAAACAAATTCACGTATACCACGATAAGTACCATTTAAAAATTTCTCATTCACTACAAATAAATAAATAATTAATTAAAGAAACAGAACGATGAAAAATGTCACAACTATACGAATTCGCCAGCCAGTTAATCAGTTACAACGTAAGACCAGGCACATATATGCATCGGTCCAAGTTGCCACACCTCATTAGCACAGCAAGACGAAAACCGGATTCATAGAAGCAGTTAACTCAATGGTGTACTATATAAAAGAAAGATTGTAATAAGGATATAGTACAGGAAGAAAGAATTAGTTCGTGGAAAGAAAGATATGAAATAATTTTGGTCTCATAGTTTAGGGGCTCGATCCCGAACTATGTCCACAAGAGTCTCCAACCATTGATTACGATAGTCGCGCGGATGCCAACCACGTAGTCTGTATCTACCAACATTGCTAAGACTAGAAGTTAGCGACTACAAGAACTGATGCCACGTTTTGGTTTGGACGCCCCCAACTTTCTTCCGACCATCCCCAACACTAGTCAGCATTGCGCGTCGTGGTAATCGGTGTTCAGGCATACGTAACACGGCCCAACCATCTTAGTCGATGAAGATTCACAACCTCATCAACTGATTTACCATCATTCCCTAATACCCTGCGTCTAACCTCACGAATTGATCTTCAAGTAGTACAGAAGTACTATTTCGTCTAGTTTAAAGTATTAATGGAACTATATCGATTACATTGGTGATATGACCATTATGTTAATTGACTTCACAGATTGGTAGACAGTATTAAATATTACATAGTTTGATTTAACCAATAAAGATACCACCAACCTATTCTGTATGATTTTTGACAATCATTGGAAGGGTCCATCTCGAACTCTACGAAAAACGTATATTCCCTATTTGAATAAATTAATCAATTCATAGGTAGCAGAAAAAATCTCATGTCTTTTTCTTAGTTCTAAAAGAATGGTATAGTAACACTTTTTAATGTTATATCAAACGATAACAAGCCAGATTTTAAAGGAAGCATCAGTTTCCTAATTATTTAAAATATACCTGGCTAATAAGTACCTACAGGTATGAAACCAAAGTGTACATAGGTGTCAACTAATCCCTTGTTCTTATTTAATAAAACAGTTTAAAATGGACTGGTCTTGAAGAACAACTTGAGAAAATATAGGCGTAGCCGGCTAAAATATTCATTCTCAGACCATCTTGGTTATTAGATCAACAGTTCAGTGACCAACGATTTTAAATCTAATCACAATACATTAGGTTTTAATTTGTTATCCATTTTGTACACACCAGATAACACTCTCCTCATCTAAATTTCCAAGGGTTGAACTTCTACCAGGAGATTCACTTGTTGACTTGGAATGTGCTGATGACATAGTTCTATTTGGTGAAGATGCTGACAAAATGTAGAGTCTTGTGACCACTCTAAGCAACAATGCAAGCATGTTCGGGATGCGATTCTCTCCCTCGAAATGCAAAATGTTGCTTCACGATTGGGTTACATCGACACCCGAACTAGTGATAGGGAGTGAAGTAGTTGAGTGTGTCGACCGCTTCACTTATCTTGGAAGTCTCATCAGCCCTTGTGGTTTGGTGTGTGACGAAATCTCAGCACGGATACAGAAGGCTCGACTAGCTTTTGCCAACTTGCGTCATTTATGGCGTAGGCGAGATATCCGTCTATCAACCAAAAGACGTGTTTACTGCGCAGCAGTTCCTTCCGTCCTACTTTATGGCAGTGAAACATGGCCGGTAAGAGTAGAGGATATTCGTAGGTTACTAGTATTCGATCATAGGTGTCTTCGAAATATTGCTCGTATATCATGGGACCATCGAGTAAGTAATGCAGTTGTTAGGAAACGGGTACTAGGTAAGAATGGCAAATCAATTGATGAAGTAGTGAAACTTCATCAGTTGAGATGGCTGGGACACGCGTTACGTATGCCCAACGACCGACTGTCTCGACGTGTTATGTTCAGTGGTATAGGAGTAGGTTGGAAGAAAGCTAGGGGCGGCCAGACCAAAACATGGCACAAATCCATGAAGTCACTGACAAGTGGACTGAGCCATGTTGGTAGGTGTAGACTACCTGGTTGGGGACCGCGAGATGATAGCAACCGATGGTTAGAGACCCTGAATGACATGGCTCAAAATCGTTTGCAATGGCGCAGATGCATCCACTCTTTGTGTTCTCCCAAATTCTAATCTTCTGAATTCTTCATGTCCCTTTCTTTTTCCTCTTTCCAAATTTATTTCACTGGATTATACTCTTTAAATAACATCTCCAAACCCTAATCTTCCCGATTACTGCTTATACTCTTGCTACCTCTACCACTACGGGATTTGAATCGACAACTGCATCTTTGTGTTAAGGTGGTGTGGCAACTCGAACTGATGTACGTACGTACGAAGTTCTATGTTGTTACTGACTGACACACCAGAATCTCCGAGCATAGTTGAACCTTGTTCCGTTTATTTTGATACGAAAAAGACTGTGTTTCTCATTCACAAACCACAGCACTTATATATTTACTCCCTTATTACACTACACGAACCATGGGGTCAAATGTAGGTTGAAGTTGATGGGTACTATTATAAATAAACATTAATGATTAAGAATTTCGAAAACCAAAAGAAAAAAACATTGATAGAAATTGGATGATAAATGGATAGTACTAACTGTAAGTAGACTGAAACTTGTTTAGACGAAGAGAACAAATGGAAAAGTGAAAATATGAAAGCTCATTCGCTGATGGGACAGCATGTACATTTTCTAATGTGTAGTTATTGTACAATCGGGTTATAGAATTTCCATATTACCCTAATTCTAGGACGAGTCCCAAATAGGACGAAACGTGGGTCAAACTGGATTCTACTGCTAGCCACTATCCATCATTGCTTACAAAAAGGTTAGGAATATTTTGAAGTTGTAGTTGTCGTTGTAGTACCAGTAGAAGTGTCATTAGTAGTCTTTTATTAGAGTCTTCATTAGAGTCTTTTATATTCCCCATTATTTGTTAACTCCAGAGTTAGCTAGAAAAAGTGAATATAAGCAGCTAGAAACATGAAATCAAAGTTACAGGTTTCCTGTCGGATTATTATCTGCTAAATCAAAACAACTTCTGGGGAGGAGATACGGCGATCATCCAACCTAATGATCAGAAAAATCATGGAACGTTGTCCGAAATTGATATGAATTCTAATGTTTTCTTTTTATTTCCGGACAAACAGTGAGCATTAGCTTTGATAAGAAACTTTCTTTTCGCTTTTATGCGAATTGAACACTTAAATCTTCATTTGATTGCTCATTTATAGCACTATCATTTGCTTGTTTTTCATACTGCTCCATTTATACCGAGTTTCATCGTTTAAAAAATATAAGACAATCCTCTAAAAGAAACTGATACTAGAAAACCTTCACTAAGAAATAGACAACTAATAAGTGCAAGCGAAATGTTGATAATTATTCAGACATCATTATAGACAGCATTCTAGGATGAAGCTTTACTGTTATGACCTAGGTAATCCGACAAATGACCTGTTAACAAGGGTTTAGGTGTCCAAGTGCGTGTGGGCTTAGTATTATAGAATTTAACAGCTAGAACATAGTAAGCACTAAACGACCTTAGAGGCGGGTATCATTTTACAAATCTTTATAAGACTAAATTTTCTCATCGGAAATAAGACTAATGCTAAACTCCAGTGATACGTATCGACTAGTAGTATTTATTTCAGACCCTGCTTCAGTTTGGGAGCACGTGCAGTATACAAACCCTCACACAAATCGAATGAAGCGTGGTGTATTTGTATTCGGTGCCTCCTAGTACCAGTATTTAAGTTTAAATAAATAAACTTCAGGTCCTTATATGATATCTATTAATTATTTGTAGGCTTCATATATGGATTTTATACCATCTAGTACTCATATTTGAGATGTTCCAAGGTCAAAATCGTGAGGCATCGTTCTTAGTAAATAAAAATCACTCCTCAATATACATGCTAGAAATGTTACTGATAAACTACGCGTTGGACGGGAACAGAATAACCAGTAGCACTACAGCTATTGTCATCGTGCTTTGGTCCTAAGCTGACTGAAAAAGCCCTGACAATGTATCCAAACCAAAAACGTCTAGTCCAATAACTTACTTCTATTGAGACTAATAGAGACTGTTGGTAAATTTTTGTTGTCATTGTTACCTTTTACCGGTTCAGGATCGTCCATAAACAGATAGTTTACTTGAGCATGTTGTCGTGACATCAAACTCTCAAGGATTTCCCAGGACAAACTAACTTCTGGGTTTTGTTCTTGCGGATCCATTTTCAATTTACAATTAGACCATTGAATGAATATCCGAAATTAATAACATGAAATTGGTTATTATAACTCCTAAAAGAAAATGTTAAACAGTCAATTAATTAAATTGTCTTAAACTATAACTTATGTCGCTAAATTATCAAGACCAAAGACCTCTCCTTAACACATCCTATGCTCCTGGTATGATCGAGGATGGAGAGAGTCAGCTCTCCCTCTCGAAATGCTCTCACATGGACACAACCGCTGTCAGGGAAGTCCTAATCACAGACTCCTCGCACCACGGGTGTTGTTTACGAAACTGAGAGGACGAAAAGCGAATGTCTGGCACTTGCTTTAACCGAGTTGGTGGACACGGAGAGTCCACCTAGGGGAGTTGGAAAACCCTGATCCTAAACCAGAGCTGCATACGGGCTCCAGGATCCTGATCGCGATGTGATCAATCTGAGTCCAGGCTTGAGATGCAGAGGGAGGACGCCAGGTGGCACGTCGGCGATGACTGTGCCGAAAGTTGGTGCTAGCCAGAAACAGATTGTGGTCTGTGCACAATTGCAGTAGACGGTCCCCGTTATCTGTCCTGCGACCAGCAAGTCCCCATCGGCCACTTAAACGATTCTCTTCCGTGCCTAGACGCCCGACCTGAGCATTCAAGTTTCCGGCTAGTACTACAATATCTGTCGAACGCACTTTCTGAAGAAGAACAGATAACTGGTGGTAGAAGTCATCCTTGATTGCATCCGGGCTGCAATCTGTCGGGGCATAAACAGAGATGACGAAAAGAAATCATTTCTCACGCCGATTTCTTCTCAAATTGATGAAACTTTCTAATCTAACAGCACATAACCGACTGTTAATGGGCATCCAATCGATTAGTGCTGCCTCAGCTCTAGCGTTTAGTGCGACACCAACGCCAGCAAGACCAGACGAAGATGCCACAGGGTCCCCGGATAAACGCACGTAAAACAAGCTTTTTGAAGCGACAGATGGAGAGCGAATTTTTAGTACTTCACCAGTCTTGAATACGGGTCTCGGATAGACAACAAACATCAATATTAAGACTTTCCAAAGACATAGCCAGCCCTATCTGTTGTCCAACCTGCATAAATGTGTGAACGCTGAAGGCAGCCGGTTTGAATGGTGGTTTCAGAAAAACTGCTTCAGTATTCGTCTTTGGTGGTAGCATACAATTTTCAACCAAGCAGTGACTCGAGAACGTTTAGATAGAACCGAGTTCCCACCATAGGCGAGCTGCTGTATAAGTCGAAAAATAAGGATACATAAAGTGGGAATAAAAGGGTGAATAAGTGACGTAGTGAATAATAATAATAATAATAATAATAATAATAATAATAATAATAATAATAATAATAATAACAATGTGAATTGTTTGACTGTAAATCGAAGCGAGAATAGAGTTGTCAGTAAATACCATCATTTTCATTATATTTGTGTGTTGGCTGTGATACCTCCCAGGTGCCCAGACCGAAGCAGGTGGTCTTCTTAGGGGTCTTCTTAAGGTCTGATCCACAAGGCAGTGGAGCATCGTGAAGGGATGCATTCCCATGTTAGTCGGTAACCAACGATTGGTTCATACGCCATTTGTTCCCGCAGGATACTGGAGCCCATGTGCACCATTGGTTTGTGATCCCGTTAAAGCGCCGTGGTTGTGTACAAGACTGCCGCTCCTTTTGGAGTACCTATCTGGACTCTGATCATGCCATGGTCTACGCCAATCTTACCTTACTTTTCAGTGGCTAACGAAGTGACCACTACCAAAGGATTGACGTCAGCATGTTGGTTGTAACTTCAGTTACTAGTAAGTATCGGACCGAGGTAGCTTCTAGGCTAGCTACCAATCCACCGAAAAGTATAGATGAGCATTGGTTGCAATTACATGACGCCATGAAAATGGCGAGTAAAGTCGCCTGCGGTTTCGCGAAACGTCCCGCTTATGAGCACTGGGTTTCTTTTGGTTCCTTACAACTTATTGGAGCCTGTCAGTCTACTCCGGGTGACCGTGAGTTTGACCACAAACGAAGGTTTTTATGTAATGAAATTGAACAAAGCTTGCGCAAGAACCGAGAAACCTGGTGCTCGATGCGTGCTAATGAGCTGGAAGCAGCAGCTGCATCTGGTAACTACCGGAAGCTCTTCCGACTCATCCAAGCCACTGGCAGCAAGAAGTCTGGTGTGAGCGGAACAATCTACGAGGATGATGGGATGCCAACCATTAACATCCATCTACGTCTTGGACGATGGGCAGAATTTTTCGAAAGGCAGTTCAACTGACCTGCTGCTCTGGCAACATCGGTCAGACTGTCCTGCTCTTCATGGACGGTGACGACTGATCCACCAAACGAGGAGGAAGTCCGCAAGGAACTCCAACTCTTGAAGCGTTACAAATCACCTGGCCCAGATGACTTACCTCCGACTCCTTTTAAAGATGGTGGTGACTTTCTGACTACGGGACTGACGACGTTGCTTACAAAAGTCTGGGAACTAGAGAGTGTACCGTCATGGAATGAGTCGATAGTTGTCCCCATCTTTAGAAAGGTTTCACATTGTTCTTTGTAACAACTATCGGGGGATAAGTCTACTTCCGATTGCGTCCAAGCTATTGGCTTCCGTCATTCTTCGTAGGTTGTTCAAAACCCGAGAAAGATTGACTCGCGAGGAGCAGGCTGGGTTTCGTTCTGGTCGAGGATGTATTGATCATATCTTCACCCTCCGCCAAATGTTAGAACACCGCCATACTTATCAAAGGCCAACAATCGTAGTGTTTCTTGACATCAGGGCTGCCTTCGATTCGTTGGACAGGACTGTTCTCTGGGATTGTCTATTGAGGAAGGGTGTGCCTGAGAAGTTTATTAACATCCTAAAAGCCCTATATAAAAACACCTCAAGCAGAGTGAGGGCATACAATCACCTCTCTCCATTGTTCCATTCGAGCAGTGGGGTTAGGCAGGGTTGCCCAATCTCACCATTCCTCTTCAACTTTGCCATCGATGACATTCTGGAAACAGCTCTGATGGATGTAAGTAATGGTGGTGTGGATCTGTTGCCTGGAGAAAGACTTATCGACCTTGAGTATGCGGATGATATTGTCTTACTATGCGATAATGCCCAAAGCATGCAATCTGCACTTAATCAGTTGGCAATCAGTGTCCGGAGGTATGGTATGTGCTTTGCATCTTCGAAGTGCAAAGTACTTCTACAAGATTGGCAGGATTCTAATCCTGTACTCACTCTGCATGGTGAGCAGATAGAAGTAGTCGAGAAGTTCGTGTATCTGGGTAGCTGCATAAGTACTGGTGGGAGTAGGAGTGATGAGATCAATGCACATATAGTGAAAGCCAGAGCGTGACAATCTGAACCATCTTTGGCGCCTTCGTGATGTCAGTCTGGCCGTAAAAGGTGGGATCTACAAAGCGTCGGTGAGAGCAGTTCTTCTCTATGCTTGTGAAACCTGGTCTCTCCGAGTTGAGGATGTTAGACGACTCTCTGTGTTCGATCATCGCTGTCTCCGAAGGATTACTGACATTCAGTGGCAACACCATGTTAGTAATGCAGAGGTTCGGCATCGTTTGTTCGGGTACAGAGATAATCCAGTTGGTGTCACCATCTTAAAACACCGACTTCGGTGGCTTGTAAATGTCCTAAAAATGTCGTCCCAGAGAATTCCATGTCGTGCATTATTTGCCGACTCTGGGACTGGTTGAAAAAAGCGGAGAAGTGGTCAGTGTATGACATGGTGTCGTGGCATGAAAGAAAGCTGCAAAGGGCTGGCTTCTGTTGGTCCTTGACGACTCCCTGGTTGGGGTCCGAGAAATGGTGCAACACAGTGGCTAGAGACGTTATCAGATATGGCTCAGAATAGAAGCCAGTGGCGATCCTGCTGTAACCTTTTACTTTCTTCAGAAAAAGTGGTTGTATATTACTTAATTGAAAGATTTCTTCTGGTTGTACCTTTCCGTTTCCCCCATTATTATTATTACTGCACTTCCTTGCACTAATCTGGTCGTTATCGTTCCTCTTCTTTTTTCTTTTACGCTCCTTACCTTTTTATCTCTATTCTCATTGTTTTATGTGGCATATAAATATCTGGTGCCCCGTTGTACCAATATTTATGTGTTCAAATAAGTAAATAAATAAATAATCCAGGATCCTAAAGAAACAAATGGCGAATAAACCTATTGTTGGTCACCGGCCACCACGGGACGTTGCTCCACTGCTTTCTGGATTAGACCTTGAGATCAAAGGCTCAGGGAACGGCCTCCAAAGAAAACCACCTGTTTCAGTTTGGGCGCCCGAGTAATATTTCAGTCCTCACACAAACTGAATGACGAAGTGTGGTGCACATATATTTAATGCCTCCTTGTACCAATGTCTATGTGTTTAAATAAACAAATAAATACGTCCTATGAGCAACAAAATACAAGTGGAATCCTAGTTAGTGTCTGAATAGCAATGAAGATTGGTAAGAAACTTTAGAATTGTTACAAATGATGAATTATTAAGCCCGTTAGTGCGACTAGAAAGATTCATTGAATAACGTGGTTAGGACATCTGTTACACAAACCTCAACTATCACCTACCCTGACAACCAATGTTAGCTAGCACTGAACTAGGTTGGAAAAAAAGCTCAGAGTTAACAACTTAAACCAGCATTAGGACATGAGGTCACTGACTATTAATATACAGTGTGGATAATTGCAAATTTCCTAGTTGAGACATGTGATGCTTGCAATCAATGTCAGAAACTGGACGATATAACACAAGGTTGGTCAGTGGTCTAGCAGTGTTTGTCTCATCAGTCTCTAAATTCTCAACTAAACATCGCTCTTAGATTTTCACGATGGCCAGTGCTATTCCTCTTGTATGTAAATGACCTTCCTTGTCTCCTATCATCATCGGTCTTGCTATATGCTGACGATGTCAAGATATGGAGAACGATACGATGTAAGAGTGATAGCTTAGAACTCCAAAATGACCTGAAGAAGTTATCT